CTGATTATGCAATCGGTGCACGCCCTGGGGCCCACCAGCCAGTTAGCCAAGACTAGGCTTGGCCCGCTGGCTGCAGGGTATTTTGAAAGCACTAAGAATGATTTTTGGGGGGGGGGGGGAATTGCTCAAGAGAAGCATTATTATTCAATTATTTTTTTCCTCAAGTGTAAACAGTTAAATTTGGAGAAACAAAATCAGTTTTAATTTCCTAATTTCTATCCATCACATTGTGTGCAGGGAGCCAAGAGCAGGGCCTTCCAGACATTGTTAACTGAGGTTCGTTATTCATTAGTCGCCAGAGCACTTTTTTTCCACCAGAGAAAATTGGCAGCAAACTGTTTTATCTTTTCCAGTAAGCAGCCCTTTGTGCTCACAGAGTCTATTCTTTTGACAGATAAACATTGTAGAAAAAATATGGCTTTTCCTATAAAAGTCATTTGTTTTATTTGAGGCCTACAGACACATCTGGGTGTCCTCTGCTCAGAGCCCAGGAGGAGTTGAGGCCCCATCCGGCCCGCTGCGCCGGCGGAAGCCGGGGTGGACCCGGCACGGGCAGGGCCCCCGTCCTGCGCCCCACAGGGGCCCGGCCTCACCCAGCCCCGCCCGGGCGGGTCATCTTGGTGGGAGACGTCTGGGAGCTGATGCTGGGAAGGGGTGAGGGTCCGTGGGCGGGGGCAGGCGTGCGGTCCTGCCCCCTGCAGCCCTCCCTCTCTCCCCTCACCCACACCTCGGGGTGAGGGCCTGAAGCGTCCACTGTCCCCCGGGCACACCCAGCGAGCAGCTCGGTGTGGCCACAGGGACTCGGGGGGACCAGCAGAGATGACCTTTCCGGTTGTCTGCATCTGCCAGGCACCCGGCTTTCCCCGCCTTGGGGCGGAGGGAAAGGGACAGGCTCCAAGGGGTGGCAGGGAGGTGAGGGACAGGGACGGGGTGCCCGGGGCGGGCACAGGCCTCACAGGGCAGAAGGGCCTGCCTGTCCCACATGTGCTCCCCGTGGAGCCGGGGATGCGGCCCCAGCAGGGTCGGGGCCACACCCTACCCGGGCCTCTGTGCCCATGCCTCGGTGTCCCCTCCCCTCCCCTCCCGGGTGGCTGTGCCCTGCTGTCCCCGCCCCCGTGGAATCCGGGTCTCAGGCTTCCCTGCGGTGCCCAGCTGTGCAGGCCCGACAGCCTGCGTCCCCTTCCCTGACGGGAACCGCTAAGTGAAGTCTCATGTTCGCAGGCCCCAGTCAGAGGTGGCGGCTCCGGCTCCGCAGCGGGGCTCCCGGGGCCGAGCGCAACCGACAGGCTTCGGGGGGACCCGCGGGGGGACGGGTGGGCCCAGACCCCGTGTGCATTTGTGGGGGAGGGTGCCTCCGCGGGGCCGCCTGGGAGCCCCCACCCGCCGGTGCCCTGGGCGCTCCCCCACACGCGCAGCGGGGGGCACCTGCCCCTCCTGGGGGCCCCTCGGGAAGGCTGGTCGGGCCGCGGGAGCGCTGAGCTGCCCGAGGACGGGGCACGGGACGCCCCGGGCCTCTGCAGAGCTTTCTAGGCCTCCGAGCGCGGCCCGCACGGCCCGGCAGCCGGCCTGGCGTCCACGGGGCTCCTGCTGGGGGGGTCTGGGGGGTGGCCTTCCCGCAGGGGGGGCGGGGCGGGGCGGGGCGGCGAGGTCCTCCGTGCCCGTCCCCCCCTCGCAGGGCGTGGAGCGCATCGAGGAGCCCGGCCTGCGGAGCCTGCGCACGGCGCGACACCTGGAGCCGCGCATGGTGCTCACGGTGGAGCCGGGCCTTTACTTCATCGACCACCTGCTGGACGAGGCCCTGGCCGACCCGGCCCGCGCCTGCTTCTTCAACCGCGAGGTCCTGCAGCGCTTCCGTGGGTTTGGGGGGGTGAGTGCCGACGGGCCCTGCGTCCCGGCGCCCAGACCCCCGCGCTCGCACACCTGCCCCGCGTGCCACGGGTCCCCGGACAGGAGCCCTGCGGGAGGGGCTGGTCCTCACTTCCCCACTTGAGGGGGAACCCCTGCTTTCTCAGGGTCCATCAGGTGCCTCACTCCGCAACTGAGAGATGCAGATTCTACAAGACCCCTGCCCACCCCAGGCCCCCCAGCGCTCCCTGTGGAGGAGCCACCTTGGCCGCAGCCTCCCATGGAGGCCCGGAGGCCCGGAGGCCTGCCCCTTCCTGGGGGGCGGACAGACGGCTCTTAGCCGGGGCTCCTGCCCCGCAGCTGGTCTGCCCCTCTAATCTCGTGCATGAGGCCAGCTCAGGAATAGAGTGGCTCGTTCTTTTTTGGATTTACTGTAGAGAGTGAGTGGTGGGGGGGCGGGGGGTGCAGAGGGAGAGCAAAGGCCAGTGGACCCCCCCACTGGGGCTCCGTCCCAGGACCCTGAGACCATGACCTGAGCCGAAACCAACAGACGCTCAACCGAGCGAGCCCCCCCGGGCGCCCCACGAGTGTCTGTCGTTCTGACCCAGGTCCGCATCGAGGAGGACGTCGTGGTGACAGACAGTGGCATGGAACTGCTGACCTGTGTGCCCCGCACGGTGGAGGAGATTGAGGCGTGCATGGCAGGCCGCGACAAGGCCTTTACCCCCTTCTCCGGCCCAAAGTAGAGCCAGCTGGGGGTGCCCAGTGGGATGGGGGACCCAGCCCGGCACCTGTCCTCACGACGGGCAGCCTCCTGACGGCCCTCCAGCGGCCAGAGACGGGTGCTCAGAGATCACACGGCCGTGTCCCCGATTGATCACGCTGTTCCTGGGGCGCGTGTGGGGTGGCGGGCTCGCTCTTAACCTTCTGCGGGATCACACCTTAATCTGATACTGATGCTACTTTGCTTGAATGACAAATGGTGGCTTTCAAAAATGCTAATGGAAAATAATTCTGCTCTTTAGCAGCAACTAAAATGCATCTTGCTGCCATCTGTATCCTTCTGCTCAGGGAACAAAGATCCATTTCCAGCGTTTTCTCTCAAAAAATCAATACACACAGTAGCATTTGCAATAAAAAGTTTCCAGAAATGGTCCTTGGTGTGCAACTTCCTCTGTTCTTCACCTCCACCCCCCGCCCTGCAGGTGCGCGCAGCTCCCAAGGACCTAGATGTGGCCAGGTGGGGGCTGGGGTGTTGGGGCCCAGGGGTGGGGCCCCCCACGCGGCACCCGGGCATGTTAGCAGGTGAACCAGCAGAGGAAGAAGCCTGTTCTGAGCGGCGCAGGCCTCAAAGCTACATCTCCGAAGGCCGCGGCATTTCCACGTGGCACGTGGGGGCAGCTGTCGCACACCCGAGGTCCCGTCCGTGCTCTCCTTGTCCTGGGGACAAGCTAGTGGAGCCGTGGCCGCCAGGGACCCTGCCACCTGGCGCAGCTGCGTGGCAGGGGTGGGACCCTGTGGTCACCTCTGCGGCCCGGGCCCCATCCCTGCGCCAACGCTCCAGGTCTGCCCCTCGACCGCACCCTCCATCCCAGGGTTCCACATCACCCCCACCCGGTGTGCTGCTCAGATTTGTCATACGCGCGTGCAGGCTTCCTGCGTGTGCACAGGCTGTCCCTGTCGTTCATGACCCCCAGGTCATCAAATGTCTCTGCCCCAGCCGTCCGGGCCACTGGGATTCCGCTGCCCCCACCCCCAGGTAGAACTGGCCTGGGTCAGGCCAACCCTGGAGGCGGACGGTGTCATGTGTGCCACACGCAGCTGGGTGTGTCATGCATGCGTCTCCCTTGTGCGCTGCGGACGCCTCACACCAAAACTGCCCGTTTCACACATTTTCTGGTCACCAAGCAAGACTACAGGGAATCCCAGGAACTGAACGTCTTTGTCCCCGAGGGACGCGGCAGCGCGAGTGCGGCTGGTCCTGCCCGGCGAGCGCAGCGCGGGCTCCGGCGGCCAGTGGGACACACGGTGGCCCGCGTCCCAGGGGACGCACCGCCTCCTGCCTCCAAGCCTCTGCGCAAATTCACAGCTTCAGAAGTTCCTCGGAGACCCTTCCAGAAAGCTGAGCAGCACCGCAAAGCCCTTCGGAAGCCCTGGAAGAGTCTCATTCAACAAACGACTGAACATCTGCTACAGGCCGAGGGAGCCACGCACGGGCCCTGCGGCCGGTTCCGACGCTTGGCCGTGGCAGGTGCTGCACAGACGTCGTCTCGGCCCCAACGTGCGCTGGCGTGAGGGTGGCAGGTGACAGGCGTGAGGAGAGCAGCCGGGGCCCAGGAGCCTGCGGGAGCCCTGCGGCCACAGCGGAGCACGGGGGGAAGGCAAGCCCACAAGTGGGTGTCACTGCACGCAGTGGGGAAGGACAGAAGGTTCTGGAGAGCAGGCGGTGGTCCCAGGAGACTAGGGCCGGGGGGGGGGGGTTGGCGGGAAGGCCCGGGCTCCGACAGCTGCTCCTAACGGGGTGGCCGGGAGGTACAGCAGGCCCGCTGGCTTCCGATCCACGCTCACGGCCGCGGGCCCGCAGCTGCTCTCGGGGCGAGGCCGGCACCGTCACAGCCACCTGCGAGCTCCGGCCGGACTCCAGGTTGCAGCTACTTCGTAAAAACGAACGGGACGTACTACCCCCAGGACGGCGACGGCTCGGAAACCTGCTCCCCGCCGGGACAAGCGCGCAGGGACCACAGGAGTGTCCCGACGACCTCTGCCCTCGAAACCCTCCAAGCAGCACGGACCAGCCCCCGCTTCACCGGGACACACCCTGCGAGGGGCAAGGCCCACCCCGAGGCCTCAAGATAGCTGCCCGCCGCGTGCGTGCGTGCGTGCGCCGGAGCCGGCGCTGGGCCGCTACCGCCCTCCCCCCGTGCCCGGCCCTGCTGGGCGAGGCCATGTGACGAAGGTCGTGCGGAAGAGGCACTCTCCCCTCAGAGATGACGTCCCTGAACGTTCGGGGAAATCTAGGCTCAAACGCACCTCTTGCCGCCCTGCCCCGGGCCGGGGACAGGAGCGACGGCCGAGCACCGCCCGCCTTGCGAGCTACGGCCCCCTGGACTACTTGCTGGGGATGCCAACACGAAGAAACCCACAGTGAGATACAGTCATTATTCCAAAGTTTTTTTATTTCAAGTTCATTGAAAGAAATAAAATTATATTTAAAAAAATAGAGTAATCTCACAAACCGAGGAAAGCCAGGACCAAAAAAAAAAAAAAAAAGGAACAAGTTGAGGACTTTTTCCTGAGAGGCGGATCTAACAGCTATAGAATGGACTTTCCCCTCCCGAGCTTTTGTCAAACAGAAAAGTTGCTTCCTATCTCTAAGGCATCGAAAAAAGCACGCTGAGTGCTAACTGGGTTGTTCAGGTACAAAGTGTCAGGCCCTGTCATGGGGACTGAGAAACATCGGAGGCCGATTTAATTCCAAATATTAAATTGCACATACTACTTTTCTTCGTGAACTGCAGAGTGTCACACTTGTGACCCTAAATTTCAAAAATCCGGTCATATTTTATTAGGATCTTACTACCACTTAGTAAGACTGTCCAAAGTCTCTGAGCTCCCGTTCCAGCCACCCAAAGGGGCCAGACAGCAGAGGAGCCGCTCCCACCTCACCACCTGCTGCCAACACCAGCCGGAAAGCACCCGCCTCCATCGCGGACTCAGATGCAGCCAGACATTGACCCCAAAAGCCTAACTCCTAAACCACTGGACCTGCCGGCAAAGGCAGATCAAAGCCTAATGGGTCATATGTGTGACCTACAGGACTTACAAAAGCCATTTTACAAATCCCAAAGCTCTAGACTTCCCATCCCCCACACCTGGTTTCCCTCAGTGATACTCCTACGTCTATCAAACTGAAAACTTCCATTCCCAGACACTTCAGTGAGAATCAAGACGACGGTTAACCCTTCTGTCCGATGCACACGTGACCCATTTTTTCCAGAAGTTTCAATTCAATGTTCTGATTTGAAATCTCCAGTGCACACCCCTGACGATTTCCCTGAAGCCGCTTTTCCAAGACCGTTAAGTCAGTTCACCTAATTGGTGACTATAAATTCCATAGGGACAATTTCTGAAAGACATTTTTTTTAGTAAACAAGGGACTACGATGTCTGTAGCACCTTTACAGAAGCCTAAAGATTCGGGGGACCTAACTGCACCTCTAATTAGGTTAATTATATAACATCAATCAGCTATTAAAGATTCAGTAGGATTCTGTGGGTTACCTCCTAGTTAGTCAAAATATCTGTCAACCCAGAAGTAGACTGATACTCCAGCCGAAGTAAACTGGTGTTGGACCCTAACAGAAACCTCCATCCTGCCTCCTGGCTCTCCAGGGAGTCACCCCTCCTGGGACAGTGGCTCTCACGGAACAACACTGGGTTCCAGTCACATGCGGCAGAGGCTCATGGCCGCAATAATGGCTTTGCTGAGTTGCAGGTCACGGTGGTATTTTCGCCTGCCCCAGGGGCACAGACAGCACTCTTGCACCAGCCCAAAGGTGCAACTCGGGTTACATCCTGGTTACACTGTTCCAGGCCCTAGTATGAAACAATATGGTCAAAAAATAAGTGACCATGTTCAAATTAGATACCTGGTAACACACACTTTTTTACTCAGATGTGACTCAGCCTCTTGTCACCAGCCCAGCCACACACACACACACACACACACACACACACACACACACACACAAATGCCAACAAATCTGAGCTAGAATTGTGCTTTAAAAAAAGAAAAAAAAAAAAAAAAAGAAATCTACAAGAACAATCAAAACCACCAACGCTGCTATGAACCAGACCCTAGCGATCCCCGACTTGTGATTGCCATTTTTTTAGTCTCAACAAAAATGTCATTATCCTGAGTTTTATCTGTATTTTCTTTCTAAAATAATTTATGGGACACAAAAGCATACAAATGAACAAACAGAAGCAGTGGTACAAAAAGTCTAGAAGAGCCCACTAACTAGAAAAAGAAGCGTCACAAGAACAATATAAAAAGATGTATTTAAATGAAATAAATTAAAGGTTAAACCTTACGCTTTCAAGTTTTCTTAGACTATTATTTTGGGAGATGGCATACAGTCGATGATATATTGTTCTAATAATCACTTGGTTAAGATCAAACGCCAAATGATCCTTCAAAGAAATTTTTGCCTTTAAAAATCATGGCCCCATTGCAGATATTTAGACATAGGAGAAACTACCTAAATCCCAATTACTAAACTGTTAAGGCATCTGTCTACTAACTTAGCTGTCAAAATGGTATTTTAAAAATATTCACTTACTGGAAACAAAAATTTTGGTACACAAGTTTATCTCTAAACTCTTGGGGGTTTTTTGTTGTTAGAAAACAAAATAATGCGAATCTAATAACCCAAAGGTATCCTGAAAGCATAATTCTAATATGCTTTACCTTTATTTTTAGGAAACCTATTTGCCTCCTAATTATTTGCATTTTTAAGCCAACTGGATATATACTGCCTTAAAACAATGGAATTTACTTAACCTGGCACTGCTACTCAAAAACTAACACTTGTTGGGGGAAAACAAATTAGGCTAAAACAAGGTTTATGTCATACATAAAATCACTCCAAATTACAAAGTGATTGATTTCTATAGCCCTAAGGATTTTTAATACATAATTTAGAAAAAAAAAATCACAAATACGTTAACATAGATGGCATTCAACTTTTCTTAGCCTAATTAATCATCTCCAATAAAACCAAGACCCTCCTGCAGGACCTGCTAGTTCCCCATTCCTTTTATCAACCTAAAAAAGAAGCATTTCTTGGGAAGTGAGGGTTTATTAAGAACATCAAGGTCCAGGGTTCTTGGTTTTTTGGTTTTCTTTTTACCATATACCTTAAAAATTTGCTTTATCCCCACAAAAAAATTCGTATCATTTAAAACTAGATATTCAAATTACATGGCTAACATTTTTAGCTAATCAACTCTTCAGTGCTGATCCTAGAAAACAACCTTCAGTGGATCTCTGAGTCATGAACAAGACAACGTTCGGCCACTGATGCGAGCGGTGCAGGTAGTCACACCTTTAGCGTTCAAGCCACAAGTCGTGAAGTCGGGAAGGGGTGAGTGAGGTCTACTGTCCCGCACTATCAGAAGCTGCTGTTGTATTTTCAGTGCTAGTGGGCTGCACGTTGTCTGCAAGGTTGTGTGCATGCTCAAGAAACAAATCTTTCAGTACACTTAGCTCCTTAGTCAGCAATTTAATTTTTGCCTCCAACCGTTCATTCTCTTCTTTGAGCTGATTCACTCTCTGCAGCGTATCCTGTGCTTTCTGCTTGCTTTTCAAGCGGCTCTTTTTCACAGCCATGTTGTTCCTCTCTCTGCGCTGACGATACTCATCACTGTTGCGATCCATGGGCGAACTCTTTTTGCTCTGCTTGCTTGGGGGCACGGCTTTGCCTCCTCCCCCCGGGCCAGCAGGCACCAGCTGAGGAACCTGCTGTAAGCCGCTGGCATGAGCCTGAGTATGAATAACGCGTATCCCCGGAGTACTGCTCTGCTGTGCTATCTTGCTCATTTGGGCACTCTCTCGCGCTGACACAAAACAGGCAGAAACGAGGGCAAGGTGATCAATGGTTTCCACACTAAGCTGGCAAGAAATCTTCGCATGTACCTAGTTAAAAAATAAATTGCATTAAAATGTTTGAAATGACAAGATCAAATGAGATTAAACGTGCGTGTACCGCACAGCAGGCCAACATTAATTGATTATGCTGGGAACAGTCTACAGCAGCTGCCAACCGTTCCAATGTTTCAGAAGTCTAAATCACTTAATTTAGAACGATAAGTTCGCACAGGAGCACCGTAAGGCCAAATCCGGCCCACCTGAATCCCTGGGGGGTACGGCCTGTCCGTGATTGTTATCAAAAATGGAAGGAAAAACAAAAGAATACTGCTAATTAGGTAGCACACAGGTACTAATAGCACTTGGCAATCTGCCAGGGAGAAACCTGAGATGTTTGGGTTAAACACGGAAAACTTGAGTTCAATTATGATAGAAGAAGACACCTGCAAAGAAAGAGGGACAAAGTTTCAATTGTTGGCTCACTTCAAAACAGAACAGTGTGCCAGAGTGCCCGCTCTCCACGACAACTCGAGGATCACTGCTCGCTCCTTAGGCCGATATGCAGAGACTGAGTCACTGAGAACTTGACTTTTCTCCCAGAGTACGTCTTTCCGCGATATTCTGAAAAGCCTTTTTTTTTTTTGGAGGGGAGGCTCGTTTTTTGTTTTGTTTTTAATGACCTCACAGAGAGTGCTTTACACAGATTTCTGAAGCTAGCTTCTTGGATCAGAGATTCAGGAGCCCTGGGACCTTCAGCGTGCTGGCCCATCCCAGCATGCTGCTTCTAACAGGGTTTTTTTTCCCCTCTTGACATAATTTATAAACACATCTCAACACACGCAACCTGAAACCACAAAGAAAGAAACAAAAGCCCTAATGATGCACCCAAGGAAGACCAAGTATGGAACTGAGGCCAGACAGAGACGGAGTCGGCACCCGCTCGACACGGCCCAAGCGACTCAGAGGGCATGCCAGCTCTGAAGTGTTCCTGCACTGCTGCCCACAGAAACGAAGCCACAGTTTCAGAAACCAGTCATCCTTGGATTACTATCAATCCAACTAGGTCACTACAATTGCCTCAAGATGTGTCAAAAGCATACCTATCCGATCATGAGGCCACTTCGAGACAAACTGACTCAGTGGATGAGCGATGTCGCCCAAGAAATCACAACACTCCTGAAAATTCAGAAAGCAGTGTTACAAACCACACAACTATCCTCTTTTCACAAAACTGCTAAACCAACACGAGTGGAAAAAACCTGGAGCCAAAATTATGAAATGCGCCAAATGGGTACACCATCTCAGTTCTTAGGAAAAACTCAGCTAGTAGACACCAGCAGCTTCACCCAAACCTTTAGCCGGGCATTTCTTGTGTAAACACTGTTCACTGGCCTGCTTTTTAAAAAATCTTTCCTTTTCTCTGCCCCTCTCTCTCTACCTGTGTCTCTGCTTCTATCTCACGAATACATAAATATAATCAAAAAAAAAAAAAAAAAAAGGGTGGGGCGCCTGGGTGGCTCGGCGGTTTGGTGCCTGCCTTCAGCCCAAGGTGTGATCCTGGAGTCCCGGGATCGAGTCCCACGTCAGGCTTCCTGCATGGAGCCTACTTCTCCCTCTGCCTCTATCTCTCATGAATAAAATCTTTAAAAAATATCTTTCCTTTTAAACACTCCATATATCATTACTTTCGATTGTTTTCAAAGCCATGCACGCAGCCCTGAGTCAGTGGGTCATCTATTCTCACTCCAAAACGAAGGCAAGGGATCCCTGGGTGGCGCAGCGGTTTGGCGCCTGCCTTTGGCCCAGGGCGCGTTCCTGGAGATCCAGGATTGAATCCCACATCGGGCTCCCGGTGCATGGAGCCTGCTTCTCCCTCTGCCTGTGTCTCTGTGCCTCTCTCTCTCTCTCTCTCTCTCTCTGTGACTATCATAAATAAATAAAAATTAAAAAAAACAAAAAAACAAAAAACAAAACGAAGGCAAAAGAGAAAGCTTCCTTCCAAACCATGGATGGATATCTACTCCAAGTCTATCTTCAGTAATGGACATTTCATAATTTCCCGGGATAATTTATTATGTTGCCTATTTTTCTTCCAGTTAAAACAGTGGCAGCTCAGCATTAATTGGGGCCACCTTACCACTAATTAGTGTTAGTGGCCATCTGCATTACTGCTTATTTGGTGTAAAGTGACCATAAGAATTTTAGTAGATTTTTTAAGACTTGTTGTATTCTTCTCCTAGAATTGTCTCAACTATCATGATCATGGTCATATAACTTTTTTACTTTTCATACAGCAATTATGTTTTTAATCTTTAGAGCCAATTTATATAGACAGCTCAAAGATAACCATGATCTAGAAAGTACAGAGCAAGAACCAGGGCAACTCTGGTTCCACCAGTTTTGCAAATGAGGGGTGCAGAATGGTAAGATGCCTTCTGACTCTGAAAATATACCACAAACATCAGTCACTAAAGACTCTCTTCTTCCCCCTTATGCTCTTTTTAATCCCAAGTCACTAAAAACTTCGAATACAGGCTCCAAATTCAGTGATGGGCATGCTCGTTTTTTGTACCCAAAGATACAGGAATGAGGAAGAGCTTTTACCTCAGTGTGACTCATCCTGCTAAGGTACTAGGCTGAACGGGGGAGGGGCTGGAGGGCTCTGAAAATGTGCCCTCTGGCTTGAAAAACAAAGAGTAATTATCAAATTGGTAAAAATATAAGCAAGGAAACTCGGAAATAATAAAAAACTCAAAACTGTTTGTTGCTTTTTTTTAAGTTCCTCGCCTAAAACCAAGGAAGTAAGTTTTATGTAAATAATTACCCATTAAGGAAAGTGGACCAAGTAAGAGGTCAAAGGGCCAAGTGGTCCAGAAGAGTTAATTCCAGATTATCAGTTCTTTTTTACATAAACAAAATAGCTGCCTCCAAAGTGACACATTTCAGTCTGCACTGTCATGTATGCTTTGTTCCTTCCACAAATATTTACTGAGCACCTACAATGGAGAAAAAAAAAAAAAAACTAGTTTATTTCAAATCTGCATATTCAATCCTAAATGAAAGTCTGGCTCCTACGTGGACAAATACTATTCCAAAGTTCATTCTACAGGAAACAGGGTGACGCCTTGTTTCCTTGCGTGTGAATCATTCAAGCAGGGAGCAGGACGGAAACTGAAGAGCAGCAGTTCTCAGAGCTCAGGAAACTTGAAGAGCAGTAGTTCTCAGAGCTCGTCCCTGGACCAGCAGCATCATTTGGGAACTTGTCAGAGATGCAAATTCTCAGGCTGCTCCCGACACAAGAACCGTGAGTTCTAGGAAGAAGGCTGAGCAGTCTTCTTTCAAAGGAACCTCCAAGTGATTCTGCTGACACTGAGGTTTGAGAGCCACTGCTGCAGATTAGCAATGGATCTTAAGAAAGATGGTCTGAGTGGGCAAGTTTTTTTTAAAATCGAGTTTCTTAAAAATAAAATCGAATTTCTTAATTCAAATAACATTCATTCAAATCAGTAACACACTGAAAACTCAGAAAGGTTAGAATGAGTACAACAAATTTCTCTCAAGTTTCATTTGGAAAGTAAACTTGTCAAGAATTTTCCTAACCCTCCTGTCATCTTTTTTCCGCCTTATGTACAGCCAGATATTCCTTCCCACGCTCCCCCAAATATTAACTCAAATTTCCTCAGTGAGTGACCACAAAATATCTGTAGATGTTTCTCCCTTACTCCCAGTCTGTACCATCATCAGTATCTGACAGTCCCACTCACCCCCCTCCCAAAAGAACTTTACAACCACCATCCCCGTCCATCCTAACACCACAGAATTACGTCAGGCTGACATCATCTCCCAGGGGCACCCTCCAAACGCTGTCTCCGGAGCAACCTAGCACTCCAGCCTGCTCCAGTGTCCAGGGTCAAACTGAAGGTATTACTCTGTCTCCAGCCCTTGCTCCCTCACACACCTCACAGCTCAGCAACACCAAACCACTACCGATGACCTAAATGGTCACACTTTCTCTTTTCCTTGTGTGGCTGTTCAGTTTGTTCCCCCAGTTTCTGTCAATGCCAGCTCTGTACGGTGGCTCCCTGCAGACTAAGCTAGAGGCAGGACTGTCTTCATATCCGTGTGCCCAGCATCTAGCGCAGGGCTGGCCATACAGTGGTGCTCGAGAAGTATTTGTCCCATACTGGCTCAGGGGCTAAGAAGAAAAAAAAATGTATTTTTATAAATGTCTTCTATAAAAATGAGAGCCTCTAGCATTGAAATCTCTTAGAACAACCCTAATTAAATCAAGAGCGTTCTTAAGATACCATGGTCTTCCCACCCCAATTTCTTGGTCCTTCTTAAAGGTGTCCAGGACAATAAAAATACAATTCCACTTGCTACTTCGAGTGCCCCAGTCTATACAATCAACATTTCTTGTCTGCTCTTTGCTTGATTTCAGTTGAGAATCTTTATTAGAAAATAAAGATGTAGCCCAGCTATGTGTTCCAGTGAATGACTTCAAGGTCTTAGGTGTGTGTTGCCGGGGTGTGACAAGTCTGTACTCTTAAGTGGTGTCCAGGTAAGCAAAGTCGGTACATACCCAGATGAGCAGGATTTCCCTTTAGCTGCCACGGCCTGCTTCATGACCCAGCGTGGGGGTCCATGAAGGAGCATACATCCCTTCAGGGAGTACTTAGTGATCCACTGGAGTACGGAGAAAATATATTTTCATTTTTTTTTTTAAACACCATCTTTCTACTCTACTTTTGGTATGATCTACCACATACAAAATACTACATGCATTGTTTATAAATACATCTCTAGTAGGAAATCATACTCAAAAAGATTTTTTTTTACCCAACAGAGCTGGAAAACCTAAAAGCTAGGAGACCAATGCACCTCCAAGAACCCACGGAAGCACTCATCCCCAAGAACACACAATACACCTGACGTCGTGGCTACTCACATTTACCATCACTGTGATCAGGTGAGGCCATCTAGACTAGAAGGCCAGATTCAGCCCCATGAGGTCCTGCCTGTCTTCACCAGGGACTCCCCATGTGCTGTCGGAATCCCGACGGATGAAACCATCTCTCCAAGATCACACACACCGCCGACAGTCAGGGCGTGCTCTTGGGTATTTAAAGGACGTTCTGAAAAAAGTGAAGTCTTGTTTCCTCCTGTTTTCCAGGCAGGTATTAAAGATGACTGAATTGGGGCGCCTGCGTGGCTCAGCGGTTGAGCATCTTCCCCCGGCCCAGGGCGTCATCCCAGGCTGCGGGATCGAGTCCTGCATGGGGTGGGGGGTGGGGGTGGGGGGGGCGGTTGCTCCCTGCGTGGAGCCTGCGCCTCCCTCTTCTGCCTGTGTCTCTGCCTCTGCCTCTGTGTGTGTGTGTGTCTCACGAATAAATAAAATGAAATCTCAAAGACAAAAATCCTTAAAAAGGACGAGAATGAATCGGCCGCGCGCACGCACCCACCCACCAGAAGCAGCGATCAAGAAGCGGCAAAGTTCTCCAGCTCGCCGGCCTCCCGTGGCGACTTCGCCCTGTTCCTAGGACGTTTTCGCGCAGGCGGAGAACCCAGCCGGCGTCCAGCTCACCCCCGTGCGCGCACGCCAGGTGCTGGGGGCCGGCCGGAGGCGGGGCTCCGAGATGCTCGACGCCTCGGTTAGGGCAGGACCTTCCTTCCAAGCTCTACTCGGGCGTCGCACATCCCGCGTGAAGGCGACCGGTTCCCGCGAGGGTCCCGCTGCGCGCAGGCCGGGGCGGAAGCCGCTCCCCGGAGGGAGACCTCACCCGCGTCCCCGCGTCCCCGCGTCCCCGCGTCCCCGCCCCCTCCCCCCGCAGCGCGCACGCGCACCGGCCTCCCCACGACACCTGGCCCGCCGGCCGGCCGAGGGCCCTGCTCCGCGCACGCCCTGCAGCAAGCGCGGGCCGGGCCGCTCCCCCCGCGGCTGGGGGCAGGCCCGGGCCCCAACCCCGGAGCCCCCGCCCGCGCCCCAGGCGGCCCCGACCCCGCGGCCCGCGCGCCCGGCCCGGTTCCGGAGGGAGGCGCCCGCGGCGCGGGGGGCGCTGGGCCGCCGCCAGGGATGAGCTCAGCCGCCGCGCCGGGTGTTGCCGGCAGGTTGCATCAGACGCCGCGCGGGCCCTCGCGGACGGCCGGAGAGCCGGAGAGCCGGAGAGCCGAGAGCCGGAGAGCCGGCGCCCCGGGCCGGGCTGGGCGTCGCACCCACGCGAGCGGCCGGCTCCGCCGCGGCCTCCCCCCGCCCCGCCGCCGCCCGCGGCCTCCTTACCTGCGCCTCCAGCCCGCCCGCCCCCAGGCGGCCTCCGCTCCGAGCGGCCCCGCGCGCCGCGGCCCGACGCACCCAGGCCTCGCAGCCCCGCGAGTCAGCGACGAGGAGCGACGGTTACGAAACCGGCAGCCTCCGCCCGCGCCGCCGCCGCCGCCGCCGCCGCCGGCTTCCCCTGCTCGCCCGGGCCGCGCGCGCGCCGCCGCCGCCGCCGCCGCCGCCGCGACCAATAGGAGCGCCCGCCTGCGGGCGCCGCGCCCGCCCCCCGTGACGGACGGCGCCGCCAGCCAATCGCGAGCGGCCTGGCCGCGGGAGGCGGGCACGTGGCGGAGGCGTTGGCCGCTCCGGGCGCCGCGCGCATCGCGCATCCTCCGCGCGGGCCGGACCGCGGGGGCCCCGGGGCGAGACGCGCGTGGGGCCGGGGCGCTGCGGAGCGGCCTCCCCGCGGGGCAGCACCTGCCTCGGGAGGCACAGCTTCCTGCGCTGCTTTTTTCTGCTTTTCTGTTGGTTTTTTTTTTTTTTCTGCGTCCCCGCCGTCCGTCCCTCTGGGGTTCGCCCCCGGGCGCCCCCCTCCCCACCCCCACCCCCACCCCCCCGGGAGCGGCTTCCCGGCCGCGGGGCTGATGTCACGTGGGTGGAGGCTGCAGAGGGTGCCCCACCGGGTTTGCGCGGTCGGTTCCCGGGCGATGCCTTCCAGGACATCAGACTGGAGAGATGGGATCTCAAGAAGACAAAAAAAAAAAAAACAAAAAAACAAAAAACACCACGCGTGCCAGTCCTGTGTTTTGGATCCAAGACCCTTGCACAGGAGGATCCGAAAGCGTCTGCGACCAGGAAGCCGCGCGCTGGGTGGAGGGCGCAGCCAGCAAGATAGGTTTGATTGCTTCCTCTTTAGTAATGCTTATCATCCAAAAAAATAAAGTCTTTGAAAGAGGAAACATTTCTTCATCGCCCAGGCCATGGCACCAGCTCTCCGCATAAGATTGTTTCGAGGAATCAGTAAAGAGATCAAAAAAAAAAAAAAAAAAACTTTGCAAAAAAATAGATAATAATAAAGCACAAAAAGGGCTGCCAGCTAAAAACGAACAGTGGTAATCGTAGAAACATAGTTGGTGGCAAGACGTAATAGCATCAAAAAAACCACTCTGTTTCTTTGACTTTGGGCCTCAGCGTTCTGATCTGAAATTTCTTCCATCGAGATGTTAGCACTATTAAAATTGGATTGTATTTCATTGCTCACAAAATCATGGTTTTGCCCTCACCGCTTGCTAATCACTTAAAAGTTGTAAAGGGGGAAAAAAAAAATTCTGGGTCGACTCAGTTATTATCCTCTGGCTCGCTAACCACTCTGCCAGGCTGCTCTAGCATGGCCCGTGTCTGGGCAGGTCTCCTTCCACACTCAGCAGGTCTGCCAATGCCAAGGAGTCTCGAGTATTTATTTGCTCTTCAGCTGGTGGCTGGTAATCCTTCTACTTAGTTTCCAAGTATTTATTTGGTGCCAACTACCTGCTAAACTGTGAGCTAAGTGCTGGGGATTCAGCAGCAAACAAGGCAAACACAGCCCCTGCCCACAATTAGAGCCAGGAAGAGATACACTCGGTAATTACACAATCTTTCTGTGACCACTTTCATACGTATGACAAGAAAAGTACAAGATGCTGTGAGATTATAAGAAGGGACCACAGATGTGGTCTGTGGTTCAGGGCAGGCCTAACAGATGAGTAGGATTTGCCGAGGTGGCACAGATGGTGTACCGGTCAGAGGGAATGGCTTATCTAAAGGTTTTATGATGGGAGAAATGTAAAGCCAGAGTGGCTGAAGCTCAGTGTCCCAAAGGAGACTGGGAAGATTTACAAGGCCCGTGGCCCAGGAAGGGTTCGGATTTTTACTGGAAGGGAGATGGGAAGACTTGGAAAGATTTGCTGTCACCCTAAAGAAATGAGGAGAGAGCCTGGTGGATGGAGGCTGCCTCTGGGTTGAGGGGATCCACCACGTTGCTTTCTTCCAAGTCACCTCATAAGCCCTCATCATAAAAGATTTCCTGCATAGGCCTCCGCCTCACTGATACCCAACCCATATTCTACAAATCCAAAGAGTTTGTAAACAAATAGTACCTTAAAATCCCCTCTATAGGGGAAGTAGGATGTCTTGTTACTTGACGATGCCACTTAACCTGAGAGCTACTATGGTGAACTCTCCTAGTTACCTAACAGGTGGGGACTGTAGTGTCAGGCTGTTCTCTCCACGGCTTAACCTCTTCGTGGTTGTGTGACGTTGGGCAAATCATGTAACCTCTCCGTCATCTGTGAATGGAGGGAACAGTATCTACCCAAGAGGATTGCTGTGGGGGTTAAAGGAGTGTACGTTTGGCTCCCAGAAGAGTGGCTGCCTGCTACGTGGTAGGAACTCCAGCGTAGTAACTGTTATTACCGTGATGCTCATGCACCAATTATAAGCAAGTTACGTCATAGAATTATAGGAGACCAAAATACACTTCCAAACAAGGTCAAGCTGGGCTTCATATAGCTTTGATGATTCAGGCACTGAAATACACAGAATATTGAAGGTGTTCATGCTGACCCCATAGTATATCCCAAAAGGTGTTTTTGTTTTTGATTTTTAAAGATTTTATTTATTCACGAGAGACACGGGGGGGGGGGGCAGAGACACAGGCAGAGGGAGAAGCAGGCTCCATGCAGGGAGCCCGACACGGGACTCGATCCTGATACTCCAGGATCCAGGCCCGAGCTGAAGGCAGACACTCAACCACTGAGCCACCCTGGCGTGCCCCAAAAGGTGTTTTTATAGAATGTTCCCTTAGTTACCCATGGTTCCCTTAGGTTCCCTTATTTCATGTGATTCCATAGAATAAGGAAAAAATTGATAATTTCGAACCTCTTATTGTTTAGAAAGCCGGATCCATAGAAGTTTACTACGCAAACTTAGGCGGGTATCTTAAATGTATCTGAAGTACTTGTGATACTGTTTAAGTACTTACCATAAATTTGTATTTGGAAAGTTTCTGAAAAGTTAATACACCATATGAACCATCTGTGGCAGGAGCTCTGGGCCAGATCTGTGTTTTGAGTGTTGAGACAATGCCGCGGGTCTGCCTCTCTGTAGATGTTTGCTGTGGTATATTAGCACCAACGTGACAGGGATTGTCAATCATTCCGTATTGGTAAAGGCTCTTTTGATTGGAAGTAACTGAAAACCGCCCCTGACTAGCCTCCGCATAAAGAAGGACTTGGTCAAAGATTTCAGGGCCCTCTTCATGAAATACCTGTGCCACATCAGAACCAAGAACTCAAATGCTCAAATGTCTTCACGTCTACCTCTGCCTTTCTGTGTGTGTGTGTGTGTGTGTGTGTGTGTGTGCGCGCGCCTATTGGTTTCATTGATCGTTTGCTTGCACACCGACTTTTTTTTGCTTGGTCACTGACAGCCTCAATGTTCAGTTTTGGTCACTAAAGAAAAGTCAACTGTCTTTATAAGTCCCTGTTACCGAAGTCTTAGGCAAGGACTCGGATTGGCCCAGGTGTGTCAAGTGCTCATCCCTGGAATAATCAAGTGGCCGGGAACAGGTCACGAGGCACTGACAGGGCAGGTCTTGGAGAGAGTGACAGAAGTACTGTGCCAAAGGGAAAAGGAGTCCTGAGCAGACAAATCCGTGAATATCCACTGCACACAGCAGATCACACCGTGGTCGCTCTGATGGAGGCTTCGTCACATCGGCTGACGCGTCTGTGCCTTCCCATGTGATGTGCTCCCGATCCCCGAAGGCAAAATTTCCACCTCTGATTTTACCTTTGGAAGCACTGTTTGGAATCACCACAGCTAAGATGCTGAATGGTTGTCTTAGGGCACCCGACTTTTGCAAGCGGGTCTGATGCATGAAAGAGAAAAGTCTGACATGGTTTAAACTTGAACAGTTGGAAGGTACTGGGAATGTCTCTTATAAAGCACTT